CGTGCGAGTGTGTGTGTGTGTGTGTGTGTAGTTAGCCGATCACGTGTTGGACGTGGCCAGTAACATGATGGCGGTGGAGGAACATGTTCTCTGGATGGCTCAGAACGAGGCTCGAGCGTGTTCACGGATCGTCCAGTGTGTGGAGCGGATCGCAGACCTCTCGCTCAGCACAAACACCACCGGCATCTCAAAGGTGACGCTCCAACAGCATCTTATGACACATTTCATTAGGGAGGACAATTTTTCTGAACAACTTTAAAACTCTTTTTTTTCTTTCTAAATTATAATTGAAAATGGAGCTTATTTTATTTTTTTATTTTTATTAATTAATGAATTTATTAATTTATTTTATTTAATTTTATTAGTTAATGAATTTATTTTATTTCATTTTATTTTAAACATTTTGAAGCAGCTTAACAGAAAATGTGAGATATAAAAAATTATTATAACCTGCATACAGAATCCTTATGTAATTTACTAATTTGAGAAAGAAAGAAAATTCTCAAAAGATGTTTACCAAATTTTGCTATAAGTTTGATTGCATCATATAATAATTGCTGTTAATAGTGTTCATCGTCTGTTCGATTACGTCTTTAATTGATTTTTCCGTACATTTCTGCCATATGTACATTGACTGACAGTCACCACTGATGAGCTAACGATTAGTATCGTGAAAATAAATACAAATACACTTGAATTGAATTGAATTGAATTGAATTGAATTGAATTGAATTGAATTGAATTGAATTGAATTGAATTGAATGTTTAAAAAGAGGTGAAAACAACACTGTACATGGAATGCAAAAAATGCAAAAAATAAGTAAATAAATAAATACATTTGTACATTGCAATGTTATTTTATTATCATTGAGAGGCTATACTAGTTTTAGTAAAATTTTGAATCGATTTTCTATTTTAATTTTAATTTAGTTCATGTGTTAGTAATTTTGTTGTGTTTTTATGTCTATATAGTTTTTAATTATTCAGTTTTAGTTATTTTAGTAGAGTAAGTTGAACCAAATTAAAATGAGAAATGTTGCCTTAGCATCCAACTGAAACAGGTTTTTTATATTTTATTTCCATTGTTAGCGTTTATTTTATCTCAAGTAACTTTTTTATGGTTTTAATATTAGTTTTAGTTAGCTATAATTACCCTGCTAAACTGGCATGACTTTCTCTTGAGATGTTGCTCGTTAAACACTGATGTTAAGGGTTGTGCCGCTGATTTATTCCCTGATGTATTGAGATTTGTGGGAATCTGTGGACTAATACATGCTGTCTGTATCTCAGGTGGGATTTTTGCATCTAAATGTGTAAATATTGATGTAATGACAGACGCATTTGCCTTGGAGCTGTTATTCTGATAATGTAGGTTACAGCCTGGCATCGTTAATGGAGTCTTTGTTTAGTCTTTTTATATTTTCATAATCAGTGCTTGACTCACTCAGCAGAACCTGGAACAATGAGTGCTGTTTATTTTCCAGCGAGTAATTGGTGTGAGGAAAGTGGGTCACGTGTCGTCCTGTGTGTGTGTTTGTGGCAGGTTTCGGCTAACATCGCTCTCGAGGCGCTGGCGCTCCGGCCTGACTCTCTCATGGGTTTATTGTGTACGGTGATGCAGCGGGCTCCTCTGCTGCCCCCGGTGGCCAATGGAGGTCACAGCGGCGCCGCATCCGAGCACAACACCCTCCTCAACTTCACATGCCACACGGTTAACATCTCCGGGTCACCCATGGGTCAGCTCAACCAGGTGAGGGTCGCCACAAACCGTCCGATGTGTCCAAAAACCATTCCACCACATATTCTCCGCTTTTTACTTGGATTAAAAGAATTAATGTTTTATGCATTTACTGTCTTTCTTTTAAATCGTCTAATTATGTTCCTAAATGCATTAATGAGTATAATGTGTTATTTAAATGTTGTAATTTTACCATTTTACAATTATGTATTTTTAGGTGAAACATTCATTTTTTATGTTTTATAATTGTTATAAAATAAAATTTATTATTTTTATATATTTTGATATTTTATAGTCTGTCTTTTTTATATTTTATTTAAATCATGCACTTTTTTTTTCATTTTAGAATTATAAATGTTTGGAATTGTAAATGTTAATTTAAAATAAATAATGAAATATTGTCGTTTTTTAGAATGTTAAAATATTTTACAATGTATATATATTTTTATAAACAAATTTTTTTTTTTTACATTTTTAAAAGTTTTCCATTTGAAAATTATAAATGTTATAAATTTTAAATATTCATTATTAAATATTTCATTATTTAAAAATATATATGTAATTGTAAAATATTTTATAGTTTTTAATATGTTTTTTATATTCTATAATTTTTTAACATTTTATTCAAATGTCAGAAGCAGGTGGAATTTATAACAGAGGGGACGGGACATACTTTGGACAAAACTGTTTTCCCACATGAGAAAGACTGTACATTTATATTTATGTTCTATATATTCTATTTATTGTTTTTATAATTGCATA